GTAGGAGGGTGATAAGGCACTGTAGGAAAGATGGTGTGAAATGCAGTGGGCTGTACACTTTCTCTTCCCCTTACGAAGTGCAATGGGAAGATAAAGGTCAATGGGATCAGCTGCAACAATGGTGTTAGGGACAGAAACATTATCATTAGAAAACATAACAGGCTCAGGCTCAAGAGGAATACCTGGAACTATATTTGCCGAATCTGGAGTTTCAGAAGGACTGATAGAGAGTGGTGTGGGTCGAGGATGTGTGGAGTCAACCATCATCTGCCGGCGCTGATATTGCTGTGAGGCTGCCCGTAGTGGCTTAAGTAATGAAACTGGAGGCGCAAGTGCTGGCTGAACTGATGGAGGCACCACAAAAACAGGCAGAGGAACAGATTGTGAGTTCTCCTCCCCAAAACTCTCCCCTTGAGGAGAACCACTCGAGAAGAAGAATGTGGATTCAAAACAGGTAACATCCATAGTGACAAATCTTCTCCTCGACACTGGGTCATAACAGCAATACCCATTTTGGTTCTGAGCATACCCAAGAAAAACACATTTCTTGGCCTTAGGATCCAATTTCTTGCGATGAGTGCCAAGAATGTGAACAAAAGAAACACAACCAAAAACCCTCAGAGGTATATGAAATATTTCTCCATCTGGAAAAAGAAGGCTAAATGGCACCTTAAACCCCAAAGCTCGTGAAGGAACACGGTTAATCACATGTACGGCTGTAAGAACTGCATCTCCCCAGAACTGCACAGGAACTGAAACACACACCATAAGATTCCTTGCCACCTCCACAATGTGTTTGTTTTTCCTCTCAGCAACTCCATTCTGTTGTGGTGTATATGCACAACTGCTTTGATGAACTACACCATGTTCTAAGAGATACGTGGTTAGGTCATTCTCAAAGTACTCTCTAGCATTATCTGACCTAAAAGCCTTAGTTCTCACTCCAAATTGTGTTAGAACCATCTGGTGGAATTGTCATACTAAGTTAGGAACCTCATCACGTGATCTCATCAAATATATCCAAGAATATCGTGTATAATCATCCACAAACAAGAGAAAGTAACGGAATCCTCCCATGGAAGGGATTTGATATGGCCCCCATACATCAGTGTGAACAATATTAAAAGCAAAAGTACTTTTATTACTTGGTTTAAAAGATTGTCTACAATGCTTTCCTAACTGACAAATCTCACATTCCAAAGTAGATAATCGAATAGACTCAAACAACTTTGGGAAAAGGCATTTCAAAGAACTAAAAGAAAGATGTTCCAAGCGATTGTGCCAAAGCATAATCTGGTTCACTGACTCTGACCCACTACTACTGCTGCTGCTAACATGATGGCCCTGATGTCTCGGACCCACTCCCAATCATCTTCTTTGACTCCAGATCCTACAAAATACAATTACCAGGAAGAAAGGTCACAGAACAATTCAATTTTTTGTCAAAGAACTAACAGACAATAGGTTGGTATGAAGTCTAGGACATGTAAAACAGAAGATAGAGTTATATCATTGGTCACTCTAACTGTCCCCTTCCCAGCAACGGGCATTTGTGAACCATCTGCTGTAGAGACTCTATCTCTACCAGAGCACAACTGATAGGAACTGAAATTGGTAGGGGCATTAGTCATATGCTCAGATGCTCCTGAGTCTATAATCCAAGGAGGTCCCTCCTTACCTGAAGTGGATGCAAGATTTGCAGATGCATATGAACTACCTGTATGTGCAAAGGAAGTGGTATAGTTGTCTCCTACATTCTGCTGTCCATTTGGAAGGTTAGAGCTGGGTGAATCTTTCTTACTCATAAGCTGTCCAAACCTCTCCAATTTTGTTCTCACTACTACTACTGCAATGGATTCCCAATCAATTTGGGAGAGAGGGACTGAAGATTCTCCTGTAGTGGCTACATTTGCATTTCCCTTCTTGTTTCTTATCCGAGCAGGCATAAGATTTGGATGAAGCTTCCAACAAGTGTCCCTGGTATGCTTAGGCTTCTTGCAATAATCACACACCAAGTCCTTATCTTCCCTTCTTGTCTCACTACTCCCCCTGTCTCCATTCGACTTAGGTTTTGTTGTACCAACCATAGTTGACTGGTCAATTGTAGGCTGTCTCAGCATTACATTCCTCCTACTCTCCTCTCCAGAGACAAAAGCATAGGCCCGAGAGAGTGTCACACCCTCCCTAGAAAGAATATGCTGCCTAGCAATGTCAAATTCAGGGGTCAGTCCTGCCAAGAACTCAAAAACCCTATTCCTCTCTACCAGTTTGTGATAAGTTGCTGCATCATTTACACTTTCCTATACCACAGTTTCTAAGTGATCTATTTCCTGCCATCGGGTTTTTAGCATGGAGAAATACACAACAAGAGGTTTTTCTCCCTGTTTCATACTTACCACCTGATTTCTTAACTGATAGGCTCTGGCTTCATTTTGCTTATGAGGGTAGGTTTTAGTCACTCCATTCCAAATCTCCTTAGCAGTATTAGCCCATAGGAAATCTTTTGCAATATGAGGTAACATAGAATTACACAACCAGGACATTACCATGTAATTCTCTTGCACCCATCAGGAAGAGTCCGTATCAGGTTTCTTCTCCTCCCCAGTGAGATACCCTAATTTTCCACGGTCACCAATAGCCATCTTAGCTGATTGTGCCCACTCCAAATAATTTGTACCATCAAGTTTTACTGTAGTAATGATCCCAGACCAAAAAATATCACTAGTACCTCCAACACCCAGTCCCACAGTACTGGTAGATTTCATCTCGGTATTCCAACTCTCCATTTTACTTCAAACAGTTCAATATTAAGAAAAAAAAAGTAGATTGGAGACCTTCAAAAAATAATTTAATACCACACACATAAACCAACCCTTCCGGAAGAAGAAAACCCTAGTTGGAGAGAAATCTCTCTCCTCCCTAAGCCTCTCAACAGAGAGAAAAGTGAATCGATCACTCCGGGAGGCCTAGAAAATTTCAGAAACCAAACCGCCCTCTTCAGAAAATCAAAAGAAAACTAACAATACCTGGGCGCCCAAGATCAGATAAAAAACAAAGAGTCCAACTTTTCTGGGACTGTTCCCCGTACTCCAGTTCTTGATTTTGGTGCCGAACAGTAGATCACCTTCCTGATGTCTAGATCCCACCAAAAACTCCAAGAACTAGGCAATCTATAGCAGATCGATCAGCCCTTTACTATTTCATGCAGTCGGCTGATCTAGGTATGATTCATGAAACCCTAGCCGATGCTCTGATACCAGGTAGGAATCTGCTGAATTAAAAAATATGAAAGAAAGTAGTTTCTTGAAGAGAGAAGGAAGAGAGAAGGAGAAGAAGAGAAGAAGAGAAGTTGAAAAGAAAAGAGAGCAATAATCTGGCCGCCCCCTTCACTTATTATTTATACTAAAATAATAGAACAGTACGAAGACAACTATGCCCTTATAGGGCGACAAAACATAAAACATCATATATAACACTCAAAAACATAATAAAATTTGGAATCACATAACTACTGTGGTCCCCACCTCCTATCTAACAACTAACATTAAAACATCTACTGTGGTCCCCACCTCCTATCTAACTACTGTGATAAATTATTTAAACCCCATATTATACATGTTAACTCCATTTGGGAAGAGTGCAAATACAGTGCAAATACAGATGTGTCAAGTGAATTCTGGTCCATGCAAATGCAAACTTGGTTTAGTTTTGCATTCATAAATTTACTTTCTTGCCAAACGATTTTTAGTTGTTATGAGTGCAAACACAAATTCCTAGAATGGAATCTACCTTTTTTTAGATTGCCCAGCTTTTGAGTGCAAAGTTTGCATCTATTTTTTGGATGCAAACTTTGCTCTCATTTTGGATGCAAACATGCCTTGAAATTTGTGAAAGCTGCACTTTCAGTACATAAATGCATTCTTACCAAACACCAGAAAAACTGAACCAGAGTGCATATATGCACTGAACTGGCAGCATTTGCACTCTTCCCAAACGGAGCCTAACTTCCTAATCTGGTTGCATGGCCTACAATTGGGTTGTTTGTGTTGGCTGGACTTATCCCCATTGGATCTCTCCTTGTACACATCATGCATACTTGTAAGATCTGGGACTGGGAATTTATATTATTCCTTTTGAATTGTTCATTAGTGAAATCTTGTCACTGATAAAAATGGTTCTGGAATTTGTAAGTGTTTTTTTAATTTTTCTTTCCAACATCCCCTGAAACTCATGTCTTGTTTTCTTGTGGCAGCTTCTTTATGAAACATGCCTATGTGTTTGGCTCTTGTCATACTATGAACCTGCAGTGGAGTATCTGGCTACTTCTAGGACCCTTCCACGACTAGTAGAAGTGGTTAAAGGTTCAACTAAGGAAAAGGTAGGGTGTGGTTTGTTGCAGGTTGAGTTCATTTTACACTTTACAGATTTTCTTTTTGTAACTACAAGTTAGTTTTCACACCAGTTGTTGTTCCAAGGGAAAGGCGTACAAAACAAAACATTATGTGAATTTATACCGTCCCTTCCTAAATTTCTCTTGATCATAGGAAGATTGATGCCATTATTACTTTCAAGTTCCCAACCTATTGGAATGTAATCCATCCTTTTGCTTCCTCACCCATTTATATCCTTATGATTTTACTTTGCCCTTTTTGCTTTCTAAATTTTCAACATGTGTCAACAACTAATTCTGTTTACTAACTTCAGTAACTTGGAATGGTTGATTTGTTTTAGGTTGTGAGGGTTGTTGTCTTAACCCTTAAGAACTTGCTTTCCAGAGGGACATTTGGGGCTCAGATGGTAGACCTTGGATTACCTCAAATTGTTCAAAATTTGAAAGCTCAAGCATGGAGTGATGAGGTGAGAAGAAATTCTGAAATTCTTTATGGTTTTCCTGGCTGCATTTGTTTCAAGTGCAAATTTTATTTGTACTAGGTAAAATGAAGTTGAGTAAAATCTTGGTTCAGTTTCATTCAGATTCATAGATGCTGAGGTGCTAAGGCAAGACTAAGCAACAGGGAGCGCCTTGTCACCTAGACAACTAGGCACCTTTGGAAAAAATTAGTCAGTCTTCCAGAAACTGAAGTAAAGGCACATGTAGCTCTCTATACCATTGTACTAAACAATGGCCTCTTATTGTAGTATATTGATGAGGCCAAAATGAAAGATTTATAGGACAGATACAAAACCAGCACATTTTTTTTTTTTTGGTTCTTGTGAGTTGGAGAATAAGGGTATGACTGCATGTGCCTTCATATGAGGAAGACAATCTAATTTTCTCAAGGGCAAATCACCTTCTTGGTGGTGTTTTATCTATATAAAAGAATTTGGTTAATTTAGCTTATCTTTCTTTTTTATGGGTAGCTTGTTTCCTAGTTGAAGTAGCAACTAGCTTACATTGAAACTGATCTAAATGGAATAAATTAAACGTTAAAATGAGAATGCAAGCAACACTACTTGGTGCAAGGGGTTACAAACTTACAATAGACCTGTTTACGGGCCAGGCTTTGCCTCTACATTAATAGAATATGCTCAGGCCCAAGTCCGAGCCCGACCCTCATATAAAGTCCGAAACCTGGGCCCGAACCCTAGCCCAGCCAGAAATTTGGAAAAAAAAGATTTTTTTCCTTTCTAATTCAATTAAAAGCTGTTTTATTTAGATTAAAAGACTTCAAAACCTAAAAAAATAATGAAAAGTCTCATTATTACTTGAAAAAAGAGAAGAAAAATATTATATATATATGTACTTTTTTATTATATAAAATATATTTTTATTAATATAGTACACTATCAAGTTTTTATATTAAAAAATTAATATATTATATTTTTATTAATATAATACACTATCAAGAAAAATAAAGAAAAAAGTCAGGCCTGATATTTTAGGCCCGAGCCCAAGCCTGTGGGCCTGAAATCTTGTCCAAGCCCGACTTAGATCGGGCCAGGCCGTCTGGTTACCCGACCCATGAACAGGTGTACTTACAACTCAACTAAGCCTTATCCCAACTTTATGGGTTGCCTACATGAATCATGTTCCACCATTCCACTCTGTTCAATATCATATCCATTGTTAAATTATGGACCCTAATTTCATTTCCCACTACTTCAACCAATGTCCTTTTTGGCCTGCCCTTAACTTTTCTAGAGCTTTCAACTTGCAAGGAGAGAATAGTTTTTATAGTAAATAAAAAATAAATTTATTAAAAGGGAAAAAAAGACTCAGATGAATATGAACTCAGGTTATGAGGAATCAGTGAGACAAACCATACTATCTACCTTACGCCACTAACACCCCAATGCCCACATTCACAAAACCAGAAAAAAAATGGTACCTCACCAAAGTATAAAAGCTCACCAACACCTTAAGCAACCAAATCCCCTACCTGAACTAACTTTCACAGATCTAATTCACTGCTTTGCAGATACACACAGATGGTTAGCAAACCTCAAAGCAACAGAACCCCACAAAGTATATATCCCAACACCAAAGCTCTTCTTATTGCCCTTCATCTTCTACAAATATCTAATTTGCTTCTGGATTTGAAGAATTGCAATTTTCTTCTCTTTATTTCTCTTCTAGTTCCAAGAGAACTTTCCTAGCAAAGTCTTCTACTCGGCTACTCCTAGGAAAAGAATTCCCAACTCCTACTCACCTTGATTTCTTCTCAACTACCCTATTCAGATACATTTTCTTATCTATCTTGAGATTCTTAACCACTATTTCTGAAAATTTCCAAGTTCTATATTATCCTCATTCTCTGGCATGACCATTTCAACTTCATTTCTAGCCAGCATGCCCATGCAATCGATGATAGGTAAAGAAGAAAATCAACCTAAGTAAAAATAAGTATTCCAAGCTGAAAGTAGAAGAAAAAAGGAAGAGATAGTAGAAATCAGAAGAGGAAGAAGATGATGAGAGAAGAAGGGAGAAGGAGAAGAGAGTTTGATTTGTTCTCTCTCCTTTCTCCTAATCACTTATTAATTTAATCATTATGGGCATAATTACAAAGATTCCCTTAATGGGTGCAGCTCAGCTCATGAACACAACACAAAGAGAATAAAAAGGAGTTAACAGGCCCACATGGACAAGGCCCATTAACATAAACATAACTAACAAAAGAAGATAAGAAATAAAAGAGCACTAGGGCCCATTCGACCCAGTCTCTCTACAGATGATATACAAATTTCACTATTGAGTGCATCACAAACCTTCTCTTTCTCCTCCAGAAGCAAGCTATGACAATCACTTCCTCTACTGAACTCCTAGGAGCTAGTGGAGGACAAACAGTTTGATCATTGTCTTCTTTTCCAGATCCTAAAATTTGATTTGGAATGTTTTCTGATCATCTCCTCTTAAAGACCTTGAACTTGTGAAGAAACTCCCTGATTTACCATTTTATTGTAGTCCTTATTGTATTGTTTTCTTATTTATTATTATTTTCACTCCAGCCCTGCAAGGGCCTCCTTGTAAGTTCTCTAAATTGTGTTACCCTAGAAGGGCCTCTTTGTAATTTCTGTAACTTTCACTTTCTATATAAAGGACCCTTGGGGTAGGGTTGAAGCATCCATTCTTCATCCCAGAATTTTGTATTCTGCTCTGGGTCTGTTGACATGGTATAAGAGCAGGCTGCTCTGTAATCAGCTCTTGCTTTATGCTCTCTCTGATATCTCAAAGGCTGCTGGCTTCTGGGTGCTTTGTCTGAAGATAGGGCTGTTCTGGTCAACCCTAATCCTTGCTCTCTGTTCTGAGATTTCTGCAAGAGAGGTCTTCCTGGAACGCCTCTGTTTGCACAGAAACCTGATTGATTGTGTCGCCCTGGTCTGTTCTTCTAACTCAGAAGCTTTCTTCGAGATTGGTCAAGCTTTGGAGGAGTTCTGATCTCTCTAGGGCAGCAGCAGCTTTCTTCTTCTTCTGGTCTTCTCTCAAGGGTGGCTGCAGTTTTCCCTTGGACTGGTGTATTCTCAGGCCTTCTCCAAAATTTGAACATTTTGTTCTTGACTACTGGTGCTTCAGATTGAAGGGTTTCAAACTTTCAATAGTCCTCTTCATTCCCTGTCAAGCTGATTATCTGAATCCTATTGGTGGCTGATTTAAACTGCACACGTCAGGTTGGTGAATCTCTCTTGCAACCCTAGTTTTCTTTGTGCTGTCCTAGGGTTACTTGGTAGGAGCTGTGTTCAATACTGAGGGCATTCAGTCCTCTCCTTAGTTCAACAGTCCTGGAATCATCAGGTTGGACTGTCAACACAACTGGTTGGAGTTGTTCTGGATAAATTTCTTGGAGGATTTTGATTCCTCTACAGGGTGACAAATCTGTATTGTAGATATTTGACTATATTTCTCTTCCAGACCTGATTTATTGTTGTTTGTCTGAACTGCTTGCTGCCAAAAAAAAAAAACACTTGATTGAATTGTTGACTTAAACTGCTATTGAGTTAAGTGAAGTGGTTAACAGCCTTGATCTTTGAATTTCAGTGTTGCTACTTTTCTGCCTGGGTTGCCTTTATTTATTCTTGATGGCTGACAAAGTAGATTTTCTCCCTATAAAATTTGATGGAACTAACTACAATATGTGGAAGTTCCATTTTGATTTCTATGTTGAAGGAAAGGGACTTGAAGGTTACTTGAATGGGATTGTAAGTAAACCTGATGAGGATGAGGCTGATAGTAAAGCCTATACACAATGGAAGCTTGACAACGGAAAGTTAGTCTCATGGATTTTGAGCTCCATTGCGCCTTACATTAGTGTTCCTATGAGAGGACTAAGGACTGCCTATGAGATGTATGCCTACTTCAAAAAGGTGTATCATTAGTCCAATATGTCACGACAATGCCAAATTGAATATAAAATCTTTTCTTATTGCCAAGGGGACAAAAAGATTCAAGAATACTATTCAGGCTTTATTGATCTTTGGGCTGAATATGAACTTGTTCATACTAAACCCTCTGATCCTGTTGAATGTGTCAAGTATTTGCAGAAACATTTTGAAAATAGGAAAGTTAACAAATTTCTCATGAGGCTGAGACCTGAGTATGAAATAATCAGGTCAAATATTTTGAATAGTGGAACTCTTCTAGACTTAGACTCTGTGATGGGAGAATTGTTGATGGAAGAAACTAGACTCTTAACTGTTGCAAACATAGAAGGGAAACACCCTGATTCAGGGATTGATACTGTTTTTCTTGCATGAGGGAATAAGAAATCTGGTGGAAAGGACCCTTCTAAAACTCAATGCTATGAATGTAAAGGATATGGACATATAGCCTCTCATTGCAGAAAGAAGAATGTCTGCACATATTGCAAACAACATGGACATATCATTCTAGATTGCCCAATCCGTCCACCCAAGAGACCCATGAAGAAGAATCAGCCACGCGCTTATCAAGCGTCTGAGGGACGAATGTCCTATACCCCCATTGCCAAGGGAGAGTCCTCTGCTTCCATGAACAAAGAAGAGATACAACAACTGGTATCTTCTACCATCTCATTTGCCTTTTTTGCTATCGGCCTATCTGGTGAGTTCTCCAGTTATTGCTCTTCTCCCATTTGGATAATTGATTTTGGTGCTACAAATCATATGATTGGGGCCTATCCTGAACCTTCAAACAGATTGTTTGAAACCAACCATAGACACATTATCACTGCTAATGGTGAGAATTTGACATCATTGGGAGTGATGACTTGTGTATCAAACTTTCTCCCTCAAATTCCTTGTCCCTTGCTAAAACCTTCCTTGTTCCTAATCTTACTGCCAACCTTATTTTAATTGGTCAATTAGTTGATGAAGGTCATATTCTAACATTTCCTTCTGATGGTTGTTTGATTCAGGACCAGTGCATTGGGAAGGTGAAAGGGAAG